ATGCATATATAGAAGTAAATGATAGGTCAAAAGTAATATGCTTACTATGCTTTGCAATTTTGGTATACGTGGACCAATGTTCCTACAGAGTTATTACCACTGAGTACTGAATCTCACTTGTACATTGAGTACTGAATCTCACTTGTACATTTTTTTTCTACTTCCTATTCATCGGGCAGACCAAGGTCTTTCTTAGGTTAGTGACCGTTCTTTATTTCCAGCATTATACAAAATAATTGATTAGTATATCAAATAGTGATAGTTATTTAATTTACTTTTGTGATTTTGGGGGTCAAACTTTGGACCATCTGCATGCCAGGAAAATATTTCACTGAGCTACAGCTTCAACCTTTTCCCCTCTTTTTTTTTTTTTTTTTTATGACAGGATCTCTCCCTTTGTATCCCTGCTACCCTGAAATTCACTCTGTAGACCAGAGCTCTGTCTGCCTCTGGTTCCTGAGTGCTAGGATCAAAGATGTGCATCACCACACCTATTGACACACTTCACAATTTTTTTTTTTTGAGATAACGTGTTGCTAAGGACTGAATAAAAATTTCTCTTAAGGAAACTGGAATGAAAAAGACTTGTGTGTGAGTCATGGCTATATCTTTACATCCCTATGTCATTGAACAAAGTGCTTTTCTACTCTGAGATTGCTTATTATCTGAAAACCTGGATATCTTTATATCAAAAATGTCATAAAAATTAAGAGACACTACGTAAGAAGTGCTCAATAATGTCTTGGCACGGAGTAGGAATCTTATAATTGATTGTTTCTTCCCTTCTTTGTCCTATTATTTTGTCTCATTTTAAAAAATGGGCATGAGGTTTCTGAGAATGTTAAATGATGTGTTGCTATTTGGAATTGTTTTGTAAACTATACCTAGAAGGCAGAACTGTGAAATAGTCTCCCATGGCTCACATTCCTACATGATTTTCCCTAGAGAACATGAAAGAGATGTAAATATACCTCAATACCCTTTCACTATTATTTTATCTTAAATTCCACTGTTAACTTTAAGAAAGGGTGATTAGCTTTGGTGGCGTTGACCTGATCCAGTGAGATCATTAGAAGCCAAAAGTGTTCCCTGGCTGGTCGCCGAAAAGGAAGGTGAAGTGACAGTCTGTCTAGCTCAGAACTATGGGAACTGCCTTTGGACAGCTTCCAAAAACTGACATGTGGTTCCTAGTCATCAGTTAAGGGGAAAATGAGTGTCTGTCTTTCAACTATAAGAAAACAAATCTTCCCAACAACCAGTAAACCCGAAAGGTGACCATAAGGGCCAGAAGAGTGATGCCAGTCTGATGAGATGCTGGGAAGGAAAATCTGAACACAATGTGCTTAGTCTCCAATGTACAGAACTTCAAGACAATTGATGTATGCTGTTTCATCATAAGCCTGTAGGTTTCTGGTGTTTTGTGGTACAGTACTACAAAAACACAAATCTCATGTTTGTGTGGTAGACCAGCAATGAGGCTGAACAGAGGCCAAAGAAAACAAAAAGTAGTATTTGTGGCCTTTTGTTTCTTTGTAAAATTTTATTAGCAATTACTAGTTATACACAATAGTGGGCTTCATTATGACACTTTCATGCAGGTACATACTGTATTTTGGCCATATTCACTCCTTGCTACCCTGTGTAGTCCCTCTCCCATCAATCCTCTTCCTCTTATCAGCCAGCCTCACTCCCTCCCTCCCTTTTTCCTCCTCTTCTCTCTTTCTCTCTTTTTCTAGAAGGAGGAGTTTATTTTGTGCTTAGTTTCAGAAGTATGAGTTTATCATCACCACCATAACAGTGGGGAGCTGTGGTAGCAGGCTGGTATACGTCTTGAACCACAAACAGGAAGCAGAGAGAGCAAACTCTAAATGGCACAAGTCTTGAAATCTCAAAGCCCGATGTTAGTGACATATTTTCTCTAGCAAGGCCACACCTCCTAAGCCTCCTCATATAGTCATCAACTGAAGAAAAAATATGCACACCATAAGGAGCATCTCATTTTAAATCACTGCACAGGAAAAGGGCAAGCTTGGTTTATAATAGACTGTTGTGCTGCTTTGAATGACAAATGTCCCACATAGGCTTGGGCATTGCGTACTTGGCTCACAGTGGTCCCAGTTGTTCATGATGTTTGGGTAGGTTTTGGAGGTGTAGGGCCGCTGAAGGTTGTATGTGACTGGGGGAGGGCTTTGAGAATATATACAACTTCATCCCATTTCCAGTTCCCTCTCTCTACTGCCCGTTTGTGGTTGAAGATGGAGTCTCTTAGCTTCTTGCTCCCTGCACCATGCCTGTCATTTGCTGCGAACTCTTATCTTTCTGAATCTAAAGCCAAAACGAACTGAACTGAAGTGGTTTTTATGATTTTTTCTTTTTTAAATAAAAATAAAATAAAGTAAGACAAATGTAAAACTAACACATTGGACTTGGACAGTCTGTTTTGTTAGATATTAATATGGTTACACAAGTTTGCTTCTGGGGTCCATTTGCTTGGAATATTTTTTCCCAACATTTTGCCCTCAGTGATGTCTATCTTTGATATTAAGGTGTGTTTCCTGGCTGTAGCAGAAAGATTGTCCTGATTTCACATCCATTCTCTTAGTGTGTGTCTTTTTAATGGGAACTAAGACCACTGATATGTAGAGATATCAATGATCAATGTTTTCTGATTCTCATTATTTGTTGTTGTTGTTGTGGTGGTGGTGGTGGTGGTGATGGAGTGGTGGTGGTGGTGGTGAATGTGTGTGTGTTAATGTATATGTATATGTGTACTTGCCCTCCTTTGATTTTCTGGTCTGGGATTATTAATTCCCTATATTTTCTTGGGTATGTTTAACCTCTTTAGGTTGGAGTTTTTTCTTCTAGTACCTTCTGTATGGATGGATTTGAGGATAGATACTGTTTAAATTTTTTTTTATCATGGAATGTCTTATTTTCTCCATCTATGGTGATTGAAAGTTTTGCTGGGTGTAGTCTGTGCTACTGGGCATAACAACCTGTTATCTTTTAGAGTTCTCAGCACAAAATTTTGCTGGGTATAGTAGTCTGGCTTACTGGGTATAGCAATCTTTTGTCTTGTAGAGTCTGCAGCACATCTGTCCAGGTCCTTCTGGCTTTTAGAGTATCCATTGAGATGTCAGGTGTATTGGAAAGGAGAAATAGACAAGATTGCCTGACAAAACTGGGAACATGGGGGTAGGGGGAGTAGAGACGAAGGGGAAGATGAGGGGAGAATGGGAGAGGGGAGGAGAACTTGAGGGAATGGGATAGTCAAGATGGAGGAAGGACAGAGATGAGAGCAAGAAAAGAGATATTCTGATTGAGGGAGCCATTATGGGGCTAGCAAGATACCCGGCACTAGAGAAATTCCCAGGAATCCACAAGGATGACCCCAGCTAAGACCCTAAGCAATAGAGGAGAGGGTGCCTGAACTGGCCTTGCCCTGTAGTTAGACTGATGAATATCTCAAATATCACCATATAATCTTCATCCAGAAACTGATGGAAGCAGAGGCAGAGACCCGCATTGGAGCACTAGACTGAGCTCCCAAAGTCCAGCTGAAGAGTGGGAGGACTGAGAATGTGAACAAAGAGGTCAAGACCATGATGGATTCACCCACTGACACAGTTTACCTGAGCTAATGGGAGCTCATCAACTCCAGCTGGACAGAGAAGGAACCAGCATGGGTCCAAACTAGTCCCTCTGAATGTGGGTGACAGTTGTATGGCTGGGGCAGACTGCAGGGCCACTGGCAGTGGCACCAGGGCTTATTCCTACTGCTTGTACTGGCTTTTTGGGAACCCATTCTCTTTGGATGGATACCTTGCTCAGCCTAGGTACAGTAGGGTGGGCCTTGGTCCTTCCCCATCAATGTGCCTTACCCTCTCTAAGGCGTGGATGGGGGGTAGGGTGGGAGGCAGGTAGAGGGAACGGGAAGAGAGGAGGGTGTGGGAACTAGGATTGGTATGTAAAATGAAAAAAAAGATAGTTTGTTCTCTTTTAAAAAAATAATAAAAAAGAAAATAAATAAGATTTATGCTATTCATTATGTAGGTTGTACATTAAGAGAAGATAAGAAAATAAAACTCTATAGCAACTCTTTTATACAATATAGAATGTATATTCTTTCTGAAGAATCAAGAAAACACATAGATTCTTACTAGATACATGGTTATTTCCTTTATATAGTAAATTCAGAATTCTTAAAATTGTTAAGACCTTCAAATACCAGAAGTTTGGTATGTTTATCTATTTGCTTGTTTTAAAGAGAAATCTGTGAACTACAGACATATCATTTTAAAATATTTAAGCTTTGGAAAAAAATTAAATGTATAATAATATGTATATATAAAGCAATAACATTCTGTAAATAAAATCAGTGAATTTGCTTCAGAATAGGATAAAATGTAACTAAATGTTAAACTTTGAAATATAAATGCTAACATTATCTTAATTGTCTATGAATTTATTTATGATCATGTAACATATTTTTAAAAATTGTTTTCATATCTGCATATATTTATTGAAATTTTTACAAAGTATATGAGCACTAAACAATGTTGAAAAGGCTAAATACAATTTTTGAGGTGTGATTTCCTCTTATCACTTGGAGCTGATTTTTGTACTATTTTTCAGGACATCTCTGCCAGGACACATGGACTCAGAGTTCACAACTAGTATCTCAGGAGTCTAGCATGGCACAGATGCTCATAACCACACTGTGTTCATAATAAAGTGCTAATGCCTTAAGAAAAGAAAAGAGAAGTCAGGTGCAGTTCTAATAGGCCTTCCTTTCTGTTACTTGGTCTTTTATCCTTGCAGCTTTTAGCATTCTTTCTTGGCTCTGTATGGTTAGTGTTTAAATTATTATGTGATGCAGGGACTTTCTTTTCTGGTCCAATCTATTTGGTGTTCTGTTGAAATAGGAGCGGCAAGGCTGCGTCCCCAACACCCCGGCCGCTTGGCTAGCTTATGCCCGAAATAATTACACGGAAACTGTATTCTTTCAAACACTGCCTGGCCCGGCTAGTTCCAGCTTCTTATTGGCTAGCTCTTACATATTGTTCTAACCCATTTCTAATATTCTATGTAGCCCACGAGCTGGCTTACCAGGGAGGATCTTAACCTGCGTCTGTCTGGAGCGGGAGAATCATGGCGACTCCTCCACTAACCTTCTTTCTCCCAGAATTCTCTTCTGTATACTCCGCCTACCTAATTTTCTATCCAATAAAATGGGCCAAGGCAGTTTCTTTATTAATAAGAAATCACTCCCACATCAGTGTTCTGTGTGATTCTTGAACCTTGATAGACATCTCCATTTTAGGTTAGAAAAAATTTCTTCTATGATTTTGTTAAAAGTTTTCTGAGCCTTTGAGCTGGGTTTCTTCTTCCTCTAGTCCTATTATTTTTAGATTTGGTCTTTTCACAGTGTCGCAGATTCACTGGATGTTTTGCGCCAGGAGTTTTTAGATTTACCATTTTTTTGATTGATGTATCAATTTCTTCTATCATGTCTTCAATGCCTGAGATTCTCTCATCTATTTCTTGTATTCTGTTGGCAAGGCTTGTCTTTGTAGTTCCCATCTGAGTTTCTAAATTTTCATTTCCAGATTTCCCTCAGTTTGGGTTTTCTTTATTGATTCTATTTCCACTTTCAGGTCTTGAATTGTTTTCTTCATTTCCTTCCACTGCATGTTTGTGTTTTCATGAATTTATTTAAGGGATTTATTCATTTCCTCTTTAAGAACATCTATCATATTTATATAGGCTATTTAGAGTCTCTCTCTCTCTTCCTCTGTGTGTGTGTGGGGGGGGTGGTGGTGGTGGGTGTGTTCTTCAGCTATGTTGCAATACTCAGTGCCTGCTGTGGCAGGGTTGCTGGGCTCTGGGGAAGACATATTACCCTGGCTGTTAGTGACTGTGTTTTCTTTCTTTTTTCTTTAGTTTTTTTTGTTTGCTTTTTTTCCATACTTTTGTTTTTTATATTTTTTATTTTTAATTTATTTATTTGTTAAAGATTTCTGCCTCCTCCCTGCCACCACTTCTCATTTCCCCCCCCCTCCCCCTATCAAGTCCCCTTCCCTTATCAGCCGAAGAGCAATCAGGGTTCCCTGACCTGTGGGAAGTCCAAGGACCACCCACCTCCATCCAGGTCTAGTAAGGTGAGCATCCAAACTGCCTAGGCTCCCCCAAAGCCAGTACGTGCAATAGGATAAAAAACCCATTGCCATTGTTCTTGAGTTCTCAGTAGTCCTCATTGAGTGACTGTGTTTTCATGCTGGTGTCTAGGCACCTGGGTTTGAGAAACTGGAATTCTAGGTGCTGATATCTTATCACGTCTTTGTTGGCTCTGTGTGTTTTGTTACTTGGTTTCTGTTTCTCTCCTTGGTTCTTAGGAGAGAATGGTGGCTGTGTGTTGCCTGGTAGAAAATTCTTCTGAGATCCTGCTAGTTGTGGCCGCTGGGGATTTCAGTAGAATGTGTTTTTAGGTATTGGGAGCAGACACTTAAGAAAAGGGATATGCTAGGAGATGAGGGCTTCCACAGGAGGGAGGAAAGCAATGTGTTCTACCAGGGCCTGATTGGTCCACTAGGAATGGGGCAAAGAGGGAGGAGAGGTGAATTTAGGTGGTTTGCTACAGAGTTGGGGTTGAGACTGGGGAACTGGATTTGGAGGAATGGGGTAGAGATGAAGATCTGCAGGTACCCAGGCTAGAATCTCCAGCCTCCTTTCTACTGTCCCTCCCCCCAATAAGTTTCATTAGATTTGTTGAAAGAGTGTGGGTGAGATTTTGTTCACAGGGGCATGTGGACCTTACTAGTGGGTAGACTATTAAAAACAAGATCTCTTCCTCACATCCATTAACCTGCAAATAAATCCTCGGGGTGGGGGAGACTCCTCATGAGATTGTCCTAATTTGTGACAGATTGTTGACAGGGCCAGTCTTGTGCAGGTTTGCTGTGAGTTAAAGAGAGAAATAAGCATATTACAGTTGGAGATCAATGTTCTACACAGGTCCCTACTACTTTTTTACGGCTCTTACATTCTTTCTGCCTGTTTTTTTTTTTTTCATATTTTCCTTATTTTCTGAGGCTCAAAAGGGGTAACATAGATGTTCTATTTATGGGTGTACATATGTCATTAAGTCTCTATACTTTGACCAGGCTGGCCTCAAACTCACAGAGATCCACCTGCCTCTGCCTTCCAAGTGTTGGGATTAAAGACATGCACCACCACTGCCTGGCTATATTTTCTGCCTTTTAACACAATACTAACATCATTTGATTAGATTATGAATTAATTTATTTGAAGCTTTTATTCTTTTTTAGACCCAATTTACTCAAGCACATGGCACCTTCATAGCCCTTTTTAAATTTTTATCTTCTTAACATTCATCACATATCTATCTTATAGTTTTGAAATAGAGTCTTGCTATACAGCTTAGTCTGGCTTTGCCCTCTACAAGGAAACAAATCATGTAAGAACTATAGCTGGTCACCACCATTCCTAGCCCCATCAATTGCTTCTGAGAGTGCATTTTTTCTTTTTACTTAAGACAATTTTTGTTTAATTGAGTAATTAACTGAACTATGTTTTTATTACTTTTTATTGTTTTTATTGAGCTATAAATTTCTCTCTGCTCCCCTCCCTGCCTCTTCCCTCCCCTTCAACCCTCTCCCATGATCCCCATGCTCCCAATTTACTTAGGAGACCTTGTCTTTTTCTAATTCCCATGCAAATTAGATCCATGTATGTCTCTCTTAGGGTCCTCTTTGTTGTCTAGGTTCTCTGAGATTGTGAATTGTAGGCTAGTTTTTCTTTGTTTTATGTCTAAAAGCCAGTTATGAGTTAGTACATATAATAATTGTCTTTCTGGATCTGGGCTGCTTCACTCAGTATGATGCTTTATAGATCCATCCATTTGCCCGCAATTTTCAAAATTTCATTATTTTTTTCTGTTGTGTAGTATTCCATTGTGTAAATGTACCACATTTTCCTTATCCATTCTTCAGTTGAGGGGCATTTAGGTTGTTTCCAGGTTCTGGCTATGACAAGCAATGCTGCTATGAACAGAGTTGAGCACATGTCCTTGTGGTATGGTTGAGCATCCTTTGGCTATATACCCCAAAGTGGTATTGCTGGATCTTGAGGTAGTTTGTTTCCTAGTTTTCTGAGAAATCTCCATACTGATTTCCAAAGTGGCTGTATCAATTTGCATTCCCACCAGCAATGGAGGAGTGTTCCCTTTACCCCACATCCTCTCCAGCATAAGCTGTCATCAATGTTTTTGATCTTGGTCATTTTTACAAGTGTAAGATGGAATCTCAGAGTTGTTTTGATTTGCAATTCTGCTGGCTATGAATGTTGAACATTTCCTTAAGTGTTTTTCAGCGATTTTAGATTCATCTGTTGAGAGTTCTCTGTTGAGGTCTGTACCCTATTTATTGGATTATTTGTTCTTTCGATGACCAATTTCTTGATTTCTTTGTATATTTTGGAGATCAGTCTCCTGTTCGATATGGGTTTGGTGAAGATTTTTTCCCATTCTGTAGGCTGTCATTTTGTTTTGTTGACCGTGTCCTTTGCTTTACAGGAGCTTCTCAGTTTCAGGAGGTCCCATTTATTAATTGTTTCTCTCAGTATCTGTGCTACTGGAGTTATATTTAGAAAGTGGTTCCCTGTACTGAATGCATACTGAACTATGTTTTTAACAACAAAATCTAGCTTTAAAAGCACTGATATGATTTTTGGTAATTAGAATGATTGCATTCTAGTACTCAGAAATGGCAGTGCTCTCAAATGAATAGATTGAGAATCCTGGGTTCTGATGCAATTCTTTATTGACCACTCATATTGCATGTGTTTAGTGTATTCTTAATCTCCTATAAAGATAATTGTTCATCTTAAGTAAGATGAACAGCTAGCTAGGAGCTTTCTAAAGAGAAAGCCATTAAGTAACTTGACTTTAACTGATACCAGTAATACCCATAAGAACAAAATTATGAACCAGGAGAGCGTGTAGAAGCTTAATTTGAAAGTTTATGAAGGGTATAAGATGAGCTATTATATAGTAACAATTATCTGAGAGATAAAACTAATACATCCTATAAATGCTTCAGGTGTGCTGGTTAAGACTTAACTTTTCAAATTACCATCTTACTATTTTTAACCTCAAAATTAAAACAATTTATTAAGATACATTTGAGAAAAAGATGTTATCCAAGGACACATGCAAACCACATACTTTCAGTGGAAGAGTACATGTTCTCCTGTATTGTCAGAATGCAAAATCATAATTATAAAATTTTGAACAAATATTGTACCTTAAAATTACATTGATTTTTAATAGCCAGACAAATATGTCTAATCATCATATTGTCCTTGGATAACATCTTTTTCTCAAAGATGACTCAAAAGGTGCTTAGGAGAGCAAATTTCTAAATGATGTTTCTATTTTAGGTTATTAATTCATTAATTGATTAAGGACTTTTAATATAGAAGTGTTGTATATTGCAGTAACAAGTAATATATTTACTATTCTAAAGCTATTGATTTTTTGAAAATTAGTGTGAAGATTTAAATAGTATGAATAATTTGAAAATTATGTGTCGGGGGAGGGGTTAATATTTAAGAGTCTCACATGCTCAGTGTGGCATGGAACTTGTAATCCCCCTGCTTTAGTCTCCTCTGTGGTAGGATTATGTGCCACCACATCTGGCCAAAAATTAATTTTGACAGTTAGATTTCATAAATAAGTGAATAAAAATATCAACATGTTGGCAATCTGTTCATGATAGTGGCTCATTCACATCCAGGTAATAGACTTCCATAAGTGAAACCTACATAACTCACTTTCTCCTCTTGGGGCTCAAGGGATTGCATAACTAATCCTCCGAGCATCAGTTTATACTTGATTAAGAACAGGTGGTAGTATCTTCATTTCACAAATAAGACTCATATACAGAAAGAGGTTAATGGTTTGCTGACAAGCCAACAATCAAACTGGCCTGGCAGCCCTGGCTGCTCTCCCAGTCCAGTATTTCCTGTTCTGAACCGACATGCTTCTGCCCTTACAGCCATAGTCTCAGCAGGCTGGTTTTCATTATTAATCCCATGCTTGCCTTG